GACTTTTCCCCTAAATTCTTTAATTCTCCAGAAAGCCCACGTAGTTAAAATTGTTTTCTTGTGTGTGTAAATACAACCAAGTCACATTTTTAGCTTTGATGTCCCCACATGGCAGATGTTTCTACTTGAATTTATGAACACATTTTCATTCATTACTATGACACAATAGGCTTAAATACTGTTTGTTTTAGTGCGATGGAGAAACAATATGCTGTGCAGTTCATTACAGTACATATGTGATTTATTTTGTTTTATCCTTAGTTCTTTGTTCTTTTTTTTGTTTCAGACAAGCTTCTCATTTATGCTGTTTCTTGTTGACTTTCCCAAACAGGGAATTTCACAAGGCCTTTGTAATGTAGACATAAAAGTTGACAAAAGAACAAAAGAAAGCAATGCCTGAACAGTGACTTAAATCAGCATTATTTTCTCATTCTGTCTCAAGTGACACATTTAAAGCACCTATCACATCGAAACAAGGTAACTGTTGTGCGGCTTGACGATAAAGACTTGAGAAAAGTTTAGTCTGTTTCAGGATGCGCTTTAATTTTTAGCAGCTGTGTGTAGAAAGCATTGTTGCTGCCATTATAAGAAGGGCAAAATTCAATAAAATGTTCTGAAAATTAACTCGGTATTTCAGGAAAGGCATGAATTGGAAGCCAGCCAGTAAGTATGTGGGAGAAACAGATCATGTACTGCACAGATTTTTCTCGCCTATTATTTATTGTTTGACCAGCTGATTACAGAGAAGACTCGCCACTTTAAAACCAGTGCAAAGAAAATATTTAAAATTCTTGGTTAAAACAATAAATTTGTATCTTTTCAACATTCCTTGTTTTGACAACTCTTATTAAGTCATGATTTTTTTCCCCTCCTAAATATAACGCTACACAGACGCTTATTTCCTTTAGTCTTTCAATAAATTCTGAAATAAAAGGGAATGTAGCATTTCAGTCTGGCAGATGTGCGTCAAAAATAGCAACAGCTACTGATCTGAGTCAGACCATTTCTACATTCAAAGCAGTGATTGCAATGTTTAAAACAGCTGCAAATGACGTGGCTGGATGAGAAACAAGGTTTATCCTCGCGCTCAATGAGCAGCGAGGTAAGGAAGGAAAACAGATTCACTGCTAAAGAACCAGAGCAGAGTAACATTATAAGTTCAGAAAACAGGATTTTCCCTCCTAACTTTGGGAACAGAAACAATTAGATATACTGGGTCTTTAACTATAACTTGGTTCTTTGGCCAGATACAATTATACTGAGCTTTTTTTTGTAAACAACATTTCGTAGAGATATATTCCTATACTTTTTCAAACCAAAGTTATAGAAACACTCAGACGTTATGACTAAGTATAAACGAACATTTAACTTTTTTTTTTCTCTCGCTGTTTGACATTTCTGTTTGATAAATGTCAGAACATTAACAGAATTTGTTTGTTTTTTTTTGTTTGTTTTTTTTCGATGTCAGGAGTTTCACGAGCAAATATTATTCTTTTAAACAAATTTTGAACAGTCGGGGGTTTCTGAGCTTCTGAATTAGTAATCCAGAACGGTTGAGATGGTTGTACCACCGGTGGAGGTATCTTAAGGCAAAAACCCCAAAGGTACTGTTCCCTTTTGTGGAAAAATAATGTGAAAGAAATCAGCCATGATATCAGGAAGAGAACTATGTATCATATGGCATTTATACTGCATAATGCTGTTTGAGCAGATTAAAGTGACGCCGTCAGGGAAAGTGAAAGTGTTAGTGACACATGACATCAGCTGGGCTTGCTCGAACTGTTTAAATGTGCATGTGTTTTAGAATATGTGCATTTCTGAATTTGAAGAGTGTTAATCATGATTCTGCTACTTAGAGAACAGAAATAAATGTGGCTATCCTGAGTGACCTAAACAAGGAAATGTTTATTCTGATTTTAGACAGTGAAATAAAAAGACTGTATCTCACTTTATATATTATAGGTGAATATGTTTTACAGCTGTGAATGGAGAGCTGCTTGATGCAGTTCCATTCATTTTTATATTTTGAAAACTCAATTATTTGCTGAATCTAGGCATCCTGGCCTCTGTTTTTTTTTTTTTTTTGGCTCCAGCCTCTGTCAATTTGGCCTAAGAGTGACAAAACAAATTAAATTTAATGACGCCTATTTATCTGGTAATGTGCTGCAGCTCTAATGCAAACTCTGACTCTAATAGCTGGGAAAAAGAAGCCACAGAATCTGCAATGGACACTAAACGTGACCGATTCACAGAAGTTCACTTATAGAGAAAAAGGGGCCATGGATTTTGTGCATACATACGAAGCTCCGCTCTCTCTAACAGCTTCTGCTCTTGGTTCCCTTAATGGCCAGCAGGATTGATTAGTGCAGGGAGGAGGGGAGGCTGTGTGGCCCGCTGCCTCATTACTCTGGGTTTGCAGGTGTTCTCGATGCTTCAGTGCTCCTGCTGCCTTGGCAAAGAGAAGACGGAGGACAGAGACCAGACCCACCTCGTTCATCTTGCACCCCATGATGGAGGTCACGCAGGAAAGCACTCTTGCTCAGAATAAGTCACCAGGAGTGACAGATGGAGATGCGGAGCAGGAGGGAAATCAGCTCAGCCCCAAAGTGTTTCATTTGTTTTTCATCTCAGGAAGGTGGCTGTGGACACACTTTTGATGACATCGCCTGCCAGGCACTTTTGCTTTTGGTTATGTAAGACGCTTTGACTCGATGCTTTTATAAATTTCACCACATCTTGGACAGAATCTAAGTGTGGGTTCTTTTGCATGCTTGCAGAAGAGTTGTTTAATGTGTCAGTGCTGAGAAGAAAAGAAAGAAAAAAGACATATGAATTGAAAGGCTCTCTTGTCTTCATCCAGTTACAAAGTTATCCTGAGTTATGTCTGTAGTTATGCTGCTATAGGCTCAGTCTGCTGGAGGCCAAACTGACCCATTTTCATCACTTTCCTCTTCTGCTCCTCTCCAATTGCATTATTTGCTATTATTTCAACTGTTTACTTTTTCTCTCAGATTGTGTTTCTTTCCGAAGAAGCTACACCTGGTCTGGTGATGTGCTTGGCAGTGGTTTGTTCCTGGAGGAGAGCATTGGCTGAGATACTAATGCCAACAAACTCTCCTGATATTAACTTTTTACTTTTCATTAACATATTCAATGAAAAGTAAAGAGAGGACAGAGCGTCCTGCTCTGTCCTCTCAAACCCATAGTCGGTCCTGGCTCGTATTGAGCCCAGTTCTCCTCCCGAGACGTTTCTTCTATCATGAGGAAATAACATTATGTAAAGCTCAAAAAAGGCAGTTTTACATTATATACTGCCCCTTTAAAAATGACAACAAAACATTAAATCAAATTTTTGGTTGTAGTTGGCATGAGAACTGTATCATGACAAAGTTCAGGTTTTGTACTGAGCCCATGTAAAACACAGGTGACAAACACTCTGGAACTCAACCAGCTCAGCAGAACGCTTTGATGCTCTGACAGCATAACTTCATCCAAATGAAAATTTCAGCCTCATTTTCTGAATCTTCTTAATCAAATTGGTTTCCCTCTAACTCTTTTGTCCTGGGTGTAGGTAGGGATTACGTTGTAGCGACAGTGCCAGTTAGGCTTGAATGAAGAAACATCCGAATAAATTAACAAGGTGCAAATGCTGCCAGCGCAGCGAGCACAGTTTATGTGTTTTAATATCTGAATTTACAACTATGTGCTCCCCCTGGAGGAGTTCTGTAACCTGTTCTTTGTGCATTTGTATTTTTTATTATTTTCCACAGCCTAGGTTTTTCATCCCACAATATTGTTTTTAATTGTTTGGGGTATTTGTTATTGTTTTAACCCAACTGTTTTCACGCAAAAAAGACAAATAAGTAGCACGTTGCATTGCTAATGAGGATAACTGTACTTCAGTGGACATAATACTCATCTTGCAATCTGAAAGTTGTGTGTTTGTTTCCAGTTTCTGACTTGGGACAGATGCTAACATTGTTTTTTGAAGACTGTCACTGATTATTCTAGAAATCTAACTAGACAGCTCTTCTCTTTCGATATTTTTTAACTTCTTATTATCCAATTCATTCCTTCCATCAGTCTATATGCTAAGTTAATTGTTAGCATATCAGACGAAGAAGCATTGTAGTGATGATTTACTGAAGGGAGGAGTATTGGAGATGGTAGAAAGTTATAGAAAAAGAAGACACTTTCAGACACCTTGAAGTCATCTTTTGACCAACAATGATTCATAACAAACAATAGGCAATGTTAGAAATGTTCTAGGAAAGTTCTGCAACACATGATTATTCCAAATTCTCATTTACTTTCCAAGAACTTCCTGTCCTTTTGTTGATGCCCTCATGTCTCCATCTGACCTTTGTGACACAGTTCTGTGGTGGAATAGAAATCATGGAGGCTGAAGCCTTCTGTTCTGCAGTGTCACATGAGTTACTATAACACTGAACTTTTAGTATTTCGTGTTCATTTTTTGAAATTGCACAGTGTGCTTTGCCTAATGCACTACTCCATAAGCTACTTGACTACTGTGAAAAAAAAACTGAATAGACAGGCTGGAGATGACTGCACCCTCTTCTCACTTGTAACTCAATATGAAGAAATGATATGTGCATGTAGCCCATGTTCTCTAGAGTTTATACAGTATAGTGGGAACTTTGAACTTAGTTTAAACATATTTAGGTGGCAAATTATAAGCAAGATTTAATTCACATTAACCTGTCTTAACCAAATTTAGATTTAGTTGTTGCTAAAAATTAACTTTCGCAGCACAGTAAGCAACACATACACCTTACTGACATGTCATAGATTGGAAAGGTTGTAGTATTTTACATCGGTTTTATCCTAAATATTTTTAGACCCTGTGATGCAAGTTTTGGATATCCCAGTTTAAATGTTAAGACACATTGTACGTTAAAGTTTTTCATGAGTGGAGCTCACTTTTTTCGAGAATCTAAGCTGAACAATGCTGAGGTTTTTTTTTTTTTTTTCCATTCTAAGCCTAGAGTGATGCAGTTCAACCAGTTCACAGAAAATATGTACATTATCATTCTTTTGAGAGGAACATTTGTTACTTTTTTTCAGAAAGGATGCACAGCTGCAGTCCAAGAAATAAGAATTAAGCAGAGTTGATCAAAGAAATGAGGCTGGAGCTTACTGCAATCTGTTGCTTCTAACATCTTTCTGAGACCATACATATAGGGTAAGACACCAAAAATAGCAGCACATATGTCGTCTACATGATTAAAGATTTTTTAGCATCAGGATTTTCAGACTTTGACTTTGCAGTTCTTCAAAAGCGATTACAATTGTAAACACAGACTTAATTAACCACCATTCAGTCAAAATCAGTGACTCATTTTTCATTCTGACGATAGTGGCCTTATAATATGAAAATGAAAGCAGGTGAGCAGAGAATTCAACCTCAACAGTGTGCAGGTTACATGAGCAGATAGAAGAGAGGAGAATAGAACAGATCTCAATGAGAGTTGGTACACGCTCTAGTCAATGTACTAACAGATGAATTATAAAAAGAGAGACATATTTTAGAACTGTAAAATAAGAAAAAAGGAACCTAAACAAAAGCGTGTTTATAATGGAGCTGTGTTGGTGGTGAACTATGAACATGAATGAAGATGAATTAAACTAGAATCTGTCCTCTCCAATGATGAATTGGCACAGATCAGATGGAAGGAAAAAAAAACAAAAAAACAGCAGCTTTGATAGTAAAAGCTTGACGAAACATAAAGGCTTCTTTCGTTTTACCTCTTTGATCATTCGCAACAAAATATTTGTTACGTAATATGAAAAACAAAAAGAAAAACACCAAGCATGTTAAATCAGACACAAGAAAAAATGTACAAATATGCTGAACTAGTGACTCATGTTTTATAAGCAGCATCAGTATTTTTAAGAGCATTAGAATAGATATTTAAATAAATAATAAACAACTGAGACTGATTCTCTTAGGACGCCTATAAAATAACAGACCTGAGGCAATACCATCAGCCGAAAGGCCATCCAGCTTGTCAGACTTGTTCCAATTGTGGTTTTGGAGCAGAGATCCACCAGAGACACAGGTCTCATTATTCTCACTTTCATTTGAAAAATACTTTGCAAATTCTTCCTTCCTGACTCCAGCTGCTGTCACTTATTGTGCCATCATTGAGCAGAACAGTTCTGGATGATAAACTCCATCTCTGCACATTTGCATATTCCCTCCAGAGTCACAAAGTCTGCACTGGCCCCAGCTGTCTCCACAGGTGAGAGGGCAGACCGTTACTGGAAGAAAAAAAAAAAAAAAAAAGTTTCTTGATAAGATAATTGCACAGACACAGCAATTAAGCGACATGGCCGAATGTGTTGTTTAAGGCTCCTGAATTTATGTAGTCAATTGTTGTGTGGTGCATTACCTTGACAATCTCTTTGGGCTTTAATTATTGGAACACTTAAAGTGTGTTGTGGAGTTCATCAGCGCTCCGTAACTCTCAACACGGGGCTGCCAAGAAAGAAACGAGTTAGTGGGCGGGGAGCAATTAGAGTGGAGAGCAGCTTCCACTCAACTCCTGTCCCACAGGAATTTTGTCTTCACATTTTGGTTCCAGTCAATAATTCAGCTGTTGGATTTAACCATTTGTCATCACATCACACTCCCCTCTGGCACTTTGACTGGCTCTTGGAGCGACCGGAGAAAAAGCAGAAAGGAGCTGTTGGAGTGAAACATTGCATCAACACCGGTCAGCTCGGAATAGAGGAAGTGAAAGGATTTTTATAAATTTCAAACGGAGCTAAAAAAAAAAAAAATGTTTTAAAGTTATTAATGTTAACATTGCTTTTCCAGCATCCCAGGTGGTTATTGCTTTGGGTCTTTTGATGTACTTCACACAGAAGTGTTACAAAGATATGCGCACTCCAGTTTCTAGATTTGATGTACTTTTCAGAATAAAACTTTTCAGAGTTTGTACTTGAAGAAGTTGAAGAGACAAAAGCAGTAGACTGAAAGCCAACTACTAGATTGACAGCTTGCTAACTAAACGTGACGCTTTAAGTTCCTTGCCGAAATTTTCAAAACACTTGAAGTTTTGTTTACTTTTTTTTGTCACCAGAAATTTGAATGTATAACTCAAAATAGTGCCCAGTTGTGAATATATATGTTCAGTTTATTTTGCAAACAAAACTCTGAAAAGTGTTGCATTAATTTGTATAAGATGTCTTTTACTTTGATAGCCGTAAGTAGAACAAGTTGCCTTTAGCACTGTTGAACTCATTATCTGCAAACCTCTCAAAACTACAGCTGTTAACATGAATTGGCAGAGGAGCTTTAATTCAAGAAGAAGCGAATAGGCCTCTTTTAACTCTGGAAGAGCTGCAGAGATCCACAACTCAGGTGGGAGAGTCTCTTGGATAATTCAGTTCTTTATCTACTGTTTTTTTGTTTGTTTGTTTGTTTTTTTAAGAGTGACCTGTTCTCACGTGCTGGGCATGAATTGTTCATTCTAATAAAACTTGGTAGCACATGTTCAATACACACTGCTCCTTCTGTTGTCCTCCTCACCCACCAGCAAACAAAATAAAGAAATTAAAAAAAAAGCCTGCAATAACTAGACATTAGGAGCAGATTCAAAGACCCAAACTCACTAAATTTTAGGCTCATCTTTAGTTGAAATGTTGTTGCAAAACTCAGTTTTTTTCCACCAATATAAACTGACATTTTGTAATTCAATGCAGTGAAAACAATAAAATCATATTTTAAGTTATACTTGCTAAAAAGTTTTTTTTTTTTTTTTTTTTTTTTTTTTTTTTTCAGGAATTTAATTTTAATTTTTTTCAAAAAAACCAAATTTTCCCCACACCCAGGGGATTTT